AGAGAATGGTTATAAACTATACAGTTACTTACCATACTTAAAATAGAACTTATCAGAGAATGGTTATAAACTATACAGTTACTTACCATAGTTGAAATAGAACTTATCAGCGAATGGTTATAAACTATACAGTTACTATCCTTAGTTGAAATAGAACTTATCAGAGAATGGTTATAAACTATACAGTTACTTACCATACTTAAAATAGAACTTATCAGAGAATGGTTATAAACTATACTGTTACTTACCATACTTAAAATAGAATTTATCAGAGAATGGTTATAAACTATACTGTTACTATCCTTAGTTGAAATAGAACTTATCAGAGAATGGTTATAAACTAAACAGTTGCTTACCATAGTTGAAATAGAACTTATCAGAGAATGGTTATAAACTATACAGTTACTTACCATAGTTGAAATAGAGCGTATCAGAGAATGGTTATAAACTATACTGTTACTTACCATACTTAAAATAGAACTTATCAGAGAATGGTTATAAACTATACAGTTACTTACCATACTTAAAATAGAACTTATCAGAGAATGGTTATAAACTATACTGTTACTTACCATACTTAAAATAGAACTTATCAGAGAATGGTTATAAACTATACAGTTACTTACCATAGTTGAAATAGAACTTATCAGAGAATGGTTATAAACTATACAGTTACTTACCATACTTAAAATAGAACTTATCAGAGAATGGTTATAAACTATACTGTTACTTACCATACTTAAAATAGAACTTATCAGAGAATGGTTATAAACTATACAGTTACTTACCATAGTTGAAATAGAACGTATCAGAGAATGGTTATAAACTATACTGTTACTTACCCTAGTTGAAATAGAACGTATCAGAGAATGGTTATAAACTATACAGTTACTTACCATAGTTGAAATAGAACGTATCAGAGAATGTTTATAAACTATACTGTTACTTACCATACTTAAAATAGAACTTATCAGAGAATGGTTATAAACTATACAGTTACTTACCATAGTTGAAATAGAACGTATCAGAGAATGGTTATAAACTATACAGTTACTTACCATACTTAAAATAGAACTTATCAGAGAATGGTTATAAACTACACAGTTACTTACCATACTTAAAATAGAACTTATCAGAGAATGGTTATAAACTATACAGTTACTTACCATAGTTGAAATAGAACGTATCAGAGAATGGTTATAAACTATACTGTTACTTACCCTAGTTGAAATAGAACGTATCAGAGAATGGTTATAAACTATACAGTTACTTACCCTAGTTGAAATAGAACTTATCAGAGATTGGCTATAAACTATACTGTTACTTACCATAGTTGAAATAGAACTTATCAGAGAATGGTTATAAACTATACTGTTACTTACCATACTTAAAATAGAACTTATCAGAGAATGGTTATAAACTATACAGTTACTTACCATACTTAAAATAGAACTTATCAGAGAATGGTTATAAACTATACAGTTACTTACCATAGTTGAAATAGAACTTATCAGAGAATGGTTATAAACTATACTGTTACTATCCTTGATGAAATAGAACTTATCAGAGAATGGTTATAAACTATACAGTTACTTACCATACTTAAAATAGAACTTATCAGAGAATGGTTATAAACTATACAGTTACTTACCATACTTAAAATAGAACTTATCAGAGAATGGTTATAAACTATACAGTTACTTACCATAGTTGAAATAGAACGTATCAGAGAATGGTTATAAACTATACTGTTACTTACCATACTTAAAATAGAACTTATCAGAGAATGGTTATAAACTATACAGTTACTTACCATACTTAAAATAGAACTTATCAGAGAATGGTTATAATCACACTATCACTTACCATTGTTGAAATAGAACTTAGTATCAGATGATAGTTATAAATCTTATTTTTACTTAACATTGTTGTAATAGAACTGGGTATCAGACGACAGTTATAAATCTTACTTTACTTACCATTGCTGAAATAGAACTTGGTATCAGATGTTAGTTCTAAATCATATTGTTATTTGCCATTGTTGAAATAGATTATCAGATGATGGATATCTGACTGTTACTCACCATTATCGAGATAGAACTTGGTATGAGTGGATGGCTGTAAATCTGAGCTCTGAACGGATTGGAGATTCAGTTGACAGGTTCTTGAAACTTTGAGATAAAATATGGATGAACAGTTTGGCACCAGCCCACAATGAGCAATACAAATTGAAATACTCCTAGTCTGTGAAATGGTTATTTTGGAAATGTTGTCTGCTATTTTATCACTAAATTCAAGTTTCCTCGAAAATCGCCACTGATTAACATTACATACACATCTGAAATAGGACAGAAAGGGGTTCAAACAATAATATTTAGAAATAAGCACTTCCTTTATTGACTATATTAAACACAACACAACAGATCATAACTACTCTACGTTTCTACGATGATTCATTTTCAATGACCAAACTCTTTAGAAATTGAACTTTCCTGGATTATCCGTACCCATATTTACAGCTGGGTCGACTGAAAAATAAAGATAGTTGACTTATTCAAAGTAGCAGGGCTTTTGCCACACTGACACTTGCACGAATTATGTCCACGCAATGCCACGCGGAGATCGTGGCGAGGCACTTCATTTCGTTGCCAGACTTCGGAAATAGACAACATTGTATGCACCCCCTCGCTCTCGCACACTCCTCATATTACTTTACAAGTCTTTAATCACTGGTACGCAAAATTGCGTATCTTTTCGCAACCATTAGTGTGACTTTTCACATACTGGCCGAGATAACAGTCCACGGCGACAATTTGTGTAACATGGGAAAGCGTACTGAGGTTTCACAAATGAAGGCCCCAGAGCCGTGGGCGATAAAGGTCTGAAAATTCGTAAAATGTACCTATGTGCAAAGTATGTCTGCTTCTCTAAATTGAAACAGAAGAAAGTAGATATAAAAGAAGGTAAAATATCTTTTATTTCACCCCTAAACAATGTTAGAATTATTTAAGGATTGAATGTAGATTTTTGCGTTGTTACGACGTCATTACGTCATCGGGGATCACTAAGGAAATTTGTAGTTCATCGGTAAATGAATGCAAATTTTTCACATGGGTTCACTGTAGCGGCAGACGCACCGACGGCATACATGTGTAATCTACCGATGTTGTCGGGTTTCTACCGTCGGTCCGACGGTCGGATTTTGCGAGGATTTCATATCAATGATATCAATGGTCACAATAATCAGATGTTGGATAGAAATACTTCAAGCGTCAACTGACTATTACGTCAGGTCTGGAATCGGTCTCACAGAATATCTAAGTAGTGAAATCTATGTCTGTATTTTCATTGATATTCATAACAAAATTATGAAAGCATATTTTAAAGAAGTCATCCGAGGAGATTTTAAAAATAAATAAAATGTAAATATTAACGTTTAACTCGACCCGAAATACAGAATTAAATATATATTTTATTTACCTTCCAAAGAATGTTAAAATTATTAGCGTTTAACTCAACCCGAAGACAGAATTAAATATATATTTCATTTCACCCCGAAACAATGTCATAGTCCTCAGCGTTTAACTCAACCCGAAATACAGAATTAAATATATATTTGCGTTCACTGCATTGGATGTCAGGTTGACAATCCCAGCTGGAGGGTGTCATCATGTCCAATATTTGATAAGTCTAGGATGCGCTTATTTGACCATGGCGCTCTAATTTATGAAGTACCATTCTTACCTTTAATTTAACATCGTATTCATGGTTTACAAATTATACATAGGCCTATCGAAAACTGGGGTTCCAGAAAAAAAGATTATATTAATCTGTAACCAATCTTACCTTTGCGTCATATATAAAATAATAAGTAGAGGAACATCGTTAATCTTCATCTTTACAGTTATCTTTCACAGAAAAATTATACTTATCAAAATATACACAGATATTAACGATCGATTGAAGAGTAACCTTCAAGCAATAACTTTGCATATTAATTATCCAATTCTATAAGGCAGTCATATTTAACGATTGTTGTTCGTGATAATCATTTACAAAAGAATTTCATTAAAATGTTAAACACACATGCCCACACAGCAAAGAACTCCAAATGATAACCGACTTCTTTGCCACGTAACCTACGATGCGCAAAACCCTGTACAATTGCTTAAATTATTCTTCCCTTGATATGCATCTACAAACAAAAATGGTGTCAGGTAATTCAATAAACTTTCATTGAGGTGTATATTGCATAGTGCAGAAATTTCGTCCGAATTTACGTAATCGATAGGTATTTTCTTAGCTTAATAGAAAAATCATACCAAAATGCAAATGATCGGACAAAGGTAGACTACAGTGGGCAAGGGCTTATAGTGGCAGACGCACCGACGGCATACATGTGTAATCTACCGATGTTGTCGGGTTTCTACCGTCGGTCCGACGGTCGGATTTTGCGAGGATTTCATATCAATGATATCAATGGTCACAATAATCAGATGTTGGATAGAAATACTTCAAGTGTCAACTGACTATTACGTCAGGTCTGGAATCGGTCTCACAGAATATCTAAGTAGTGAAATCTATGTCTGTATTTTCATTGATATGCATAACAAAATTATGAAAGCATATTTTAAAGAAGTCATCCGAGGAGATTTTCTACCTGGAATGTTACCTTTAATGTCAAATTGTGACCAGTCACGAATTTTCTTATTTTAAGCCTAAATCAATAATAAAACTGTCGCGGTATTTTCTTTTTAATGACTATTTCATATAGGATTAGATAAAAAAAAAACAATTTACTAATAAAAAAAATTCAATTTTATACGATAAATAGTATAGAACAAAGTTACCAACGGGACGAAGTCTACTGAAAAGAAAGGAAGGTGAGAAATTACAACCATGCTTGACAAGTATAAAAAAAATAGGTTCAAGAATGTTCTTTTTGCCATCCAAACCTCTTGATATTATTATTTCCCCTTATCACAGACTGGAATAACAAGGACAGACGATATATTCAAGATCACTAGAGTTTCACAAGGCAACCGAGATTAGCAGTTTAGAACCCACGAACACTACTCGACTATGCAATCAAACTGTTTACGAGTATAGTTTATGTTACAGACTTAAATAAGTGGTTCAGATCAGTGGTTCAGTTCCAACTGTTTTAGGTTAAAGTAGTACATGCTATAGGTTTAATAGAGGTTCAGATCAAACTCTTGAAGGTAAACGAGTAGTTGATGTTACAGTTGGTGTTATACATTAAATAGTGATTCGGGTCAAACTGTTGTAGGTTAACTAGCAGTTGGTGTTACAGTGGAAAACTATATAGATTGTTGTAGGTTAACTAGCAGTTTGTTCTACAGTGGAAAACTATATAGATTGTTGTAGGTTAACTAGCAGTTTGTGTTACAGTGGGAAACTATATAGATTGTTGTAGGTTAACTAGCAGTTGGTTCTACAATGGAAAACTATATAGATTGTTGTAGGTTAACTAGCAGTTGGTGTTACAGTGGAAAACTATATAGATTGTTGTAGGTTAACTAGCAGTTGGTGCTACAGTGGAAAACTGTATAGATTGTTGTAGGTTAACTAGCAGTTGGTGTTACAGTGGAAAACTATATAGATTGTTGTAGGTTAACTAGCAGTTGGTGTTACAGTGGAAAACTATATAGATTGTTGTAGGTTAACTAGCAGTTGGTTCTACAATGGAAAACTATATAGATTGTTGTAGGTTAACTAGCAGTTGGTTCTACAGTGGAAAACTATATAGATTGTTGTAGGTTAACTAGCAGTTGGTGTTACAGTGGAAAACTATATAGATTGTTGTAGGTTAACTAGCAGTTGGTTCTACAATGGAAAACTATATAGATTGTTGTAGGTTAACTAGCAGTTGGTTCTACAATGGAAAACTATATAGATTGTTGTAGGTTAACTAGCAGTTGGTTCTACAATGGAAAACTATATAGATTGTTGTAGGTTAACTAGCAGTTGGTTCTACAATGGAAAACTATATAGATTGTTGTAGGTTAACTAGCAGTTGGTTCTACAGTGGAAAACTATATAGATTGTTGTAGGTTAACTAGCAGTTGGTTCTACAGTGGAAAACTATATAGATTGTTGTAGGTTAACTAGCAGTTGGTTCTACAGTGGAAAACTATATAGATTGTTGTAGGTTAACTAGTAGTTGGTGTTACAGCAAAAAATAAAAATAAAAACTGTTGTGAGTTAACGAGAAGATGAACGTTATACATTAAATAGTGGTTCAGATCAAACTGTTGTTGGTAAACGATTAGTTGATGTTACAGTGTAAACTAATAAACTGTTGTAGGTTAACGAGTTCACGATGTTACAGTGTGAAACTGTTGTAGATTGATAGTTGATGTAAAATTTTGTTTCAGATCAAACTGCTGGAGGTTAACGAGTAGAAAATGTTTAATCTAAATTTTATTACACAAGACAATTACAAAATTTCAATTTCTATTATTGGAATTGGGGAACTACACTACATATACCAATAGAGAAGAGCCCTAAAAAGACTGAACAGAATCTTTTATATACATGTATTTATTATTTGAATGTTTTTGTTTCGTTGAGGGGAAATGATTATTGATCTAATTCATTTTAATATTTTGCCCAGTGCAGAAAAGGCTTACTGATATAATCTTATGAATAGATATATTAAAACAGAAAAATAAAACATGTTGTTGCTCAAAGTTCCAAGGTAAGCGATCGTCAGACAACTGATCTATTTTCAGTCTGCGTCCCTCCTGAAGTTGGATTAACTCTACATAGATCAATACAATTGATGTATTTGAGCACTACTTTAACAGTGAAAATATTTTATCATTGTATTGTTATTAATATTTTGGTCCTTACCTTGGAAAAGGTTTATTAATAATTAATGTATAATAGTATAGTTGGTTGAACAAATCCTTTAGAAGGCTTAGTTGTGTTCGACCTATTCTGAACAATAAATAAAGCCTGGAGCTTAAAGCCATTCGCACTTACTGTCCTTAATTGAGATAATTAAATCACCGACCTGAACATCGTTTATCAACCTAATTTTATCAAATCTTTAATAGTAAATCTCTTCATGTTCGATCTAATCAACATGTTCATTGTTTATATTTTGAATAATAGCAAGTATCTTGAGGATAGCCTATAGATCTTTCCATTGAATGTTTTACGTTAAAATAATTCAAAGAATGTCGGAGACATTGGAGACACTTAAAGGGACAGTTTGATTTTATACGTATATTGAAAAATTTGTTTGCATCATTTCATGAAAATCTATCGAAAAGGATCCCTTAGCTTATCCGTAATTTTAGAACGCCATAACAAGTTAAAGGGTTTACGTAAGTCGCTATTTTTTTTTATCTTTTTTTTTTTAGTTAGTGTTGTTAATACTATAGAATAAACGCTATATTGTAGAGAAGTATGTCTGATATTTCAAATATATTGAGTCATTTTAATGCCAAAAATGCCGAAATCTAAAAAAGACTGTGAACAGCTACGAGACATCATCTCATAGATTTCAAACCTTTTGAAACTTCTATTCCGTTAGCTTTCAACTCGATATTTCAAATTTACAAGGTTTGAATAAGAAATTAAAACTTGTGGGTATCTGATAAATAAATCAATTATATAATTACACTCCAGAAATGTCACCTCAATATTCTCAATTTGTAAAAAATAATAAAACTAATTTATACCGCATCGAGTTGACGTCCGTCGACATGCTGACTGAAAAAGGGTCTCCACTAACCTAGATGAGTCACTGACAGTCTTTAAAATGAAGGGTTTCCATATTTTGTCGAAAGAAAGTGAACTCTCCAATTTATATCGTCTGTCAATTTAGGTTTATAGGAAAACATTTGCATATTTCACAAGTATTAGAAATTATTTTTGATATTTCACGAATTCACAACTTTAAATGAGGTATTTTTAAAATTGGAATGCAAAATTTTGCAAAAAAAATTATTAAATTTTTGGAGGGTTAAAAAATTACGTAATTGTTCTCTGGCTCACTGATTAAACACCAAGGTGTGAAAGTTCAAACCATCATAAATATATTTGATGCTATTTTATGCATTATCGTCATAAATCATTACAAGGAGAATTTGAAGGCCATTACTAATCTGAAAAGCCCTGTAGTTGAAAATGTGGTATAGTCGTCCACAGTCGACTGAAAATCCGGAAGTTGATGTTTTTCATCCAATACCTGGATGTCCAAAGATACCTGAGGTCAAGAGCAATCTACACCGAAAAATTCAAGGTAATTGAAGGTCAAGGTCAACAGATATAGATTTTTAAATTTTCATAAATTACGAACAAACAAATTTGAATTCGAAATTCAAAATTCTGTTCCCAATAATTTTGAGATATGGTAAAAAGGTTTCAATAGACAAAAAAATCATACAAATCGGAAAATAAATGGTAAACTTGAAAACTTTGAAGTAATTATAATACATAATCTGTACGATTCTGTCTACATTTGTGAATTACACCGAAAGCAGGGTCGCCTGAAGTGATTCTAAAAAAGTTCTCACGCCCAAACTGGAAGTGTTTTAAAAATTTTGATGAACCGTTTTATTTGTATCGACATTCTGTCTATATCCTGTAATTTTCAGATCGATCCGATGATAATCACCAAAGTTGGAAATTTCAAAAATTTTCCTGCAATTTTTTTTTTGTTATAAAAGTATAAAGACTCCATACCACATTTTTGTGTCCCCAACCATTTAATGTGTCAGATCTGGAATGTGTGAAGTAACTCTCAACAAAAACAAGGAAGCGAAATCTATGACTGTATTTCAATTAAATGAACTCTACTGACGTTTGAAACTTTACGACCCTAATAACATAGTCTGGTACTTTACCATTACTGGCCATTATGATCTGACAAGGGTTCTGTTTATTTCGTTAAGTTTAAATCAATAATGAAACTGTCACAGTATTGTTCTTTAAGTTAACTAATAACTATTTTATATTTAGGATACGATAAATACATTTTCCTAATTAGATCCAGAATAAAGTAGAATATAGCAATGTTTGTTTAACTAAAATAAGAGGTTTCGTTCAAAACAGTCTTTCATATTTTACTGCTGTAGGTCACAGAGTAATTGATGTTATATTACCATTACTATCGTTCAATTATTGTTCTTCTTTGTTCAAGGCAGGTATCCAAACCAGCATTCAAATTCAAAATGCTTTGAACTCATGAGCGTTAGGGGTATTAATGCTCGTATTATGGGTCATAGACGATAACATTGAACAGTCAAGCTATTAAGTTGGAAGTTTAATCAAAGAATATAATATTATTTGTTTTGTCACCCATTATGCAAAATATTGGAACAAATTCACTGTCTTTTTACCGAAATTTATTTAATACCATTGTTCAAAAACAGTTTTGATTCCTTTATTGTCATTGAAATGCAAAGACAAAAAAACGGCTCTGAAACGGACATGCCCGACCAAATGCATCGATTATATGTCGCGTTTTAGACATTAACCATGCATGTGTCTCTTTACTAAGTGCGGAAAATATCGCTTGTTATGTAAAATCGTTGCCTTGAAAGGCAATAATGATTATAATGTTTTTACATCCATGTCGTATAGAAAAAACAACATCGGGATAAAAAAAAATCGGCTCTCAAAGATTGATCACACTGACCTCATCCATCGTCAAACAGTATTACAGTGAGTTACAGAACAGATTTCCGAATGTATATACCAAACGACTTGTAATTGCCTATAAGCGCAATAAAAACCTTAGTAATTCTCTGGTCCGTGGTAGACTCGATCCCATTGAATCCAATAATACTTGACCCCCTCTCTATTTTCTAGCTCATTAAGTATAATATATTCTAATCCTTATATATAGATGTTTATCTTTTCAGAACCTATTCATACTCTTTTCTTTTAGAACTGGTAACAAGAAAACTTTCATATTATAGACTTTTGTTTATTGTAGATTACTCTTGGTTGTTTTTTTTAACTTAATACTAACTATGCTAACTTCACCTTATCTTGTATTGAACATTTATCTCTTTATTTGTGACCTTGGCCAGTGCTTTACATAGAAGTTTTTAGGAACTTCTTCACTCTTAACACTGACTTCGACAAAAAGGTATTTTTTATGAAAATCAGTGATTCATCAGCATAAATTTTTTGACATGTATACGTACATCTAGCCTACATATCTGGAACGAGCAGTTCCTCAAACAAGCTATACGCATGTGATATCAGGATGTTTTGGGTCAGACATAAAATGTCCTCATTTATCGGAGTTGATAATACTACTTTTGGGTCGCTGGTTTTTTATAAATTGACAAAGATAAACAACCCTATAAATTTTCACGTGTTCGAATCAACGTCTCAAATCGGGAATTCTTTAAATGCTACATTCCTTTCTGATGCATGAGAGAATTGTTACAAATAACAAAAATTTATTTTAATAATTTTTTAAATGATAACAGAGCAGTTTTCTTAAGAAATGATGTATGTCTATCTAGTATCACTTGGATTCTTGACAATTCTGATGCATTCCACTGAAAAATAAAGTAAGTATTAAAAATAACAAAATTTATATAATTCAAGCGACGGTATTGCATGTATAGTAAAATCAACACCAGTGACTGTGGTACATTACCATCGCCAGCGAAGGCTGTAATTGCATAAACACAACCATCGCCAGCGAAGGCTGTACATGCATAAACACAACCATCACCAGCGAAGGCTGTACATGCATAAACACAACTTTACTACGTATGAGCATATAAAAATCAAAAGAATTGTTGCTTAAAGAGTGAGCAAAAGTTGCATTATATGGCTAATAGAGTGAAAACGCCAAGTCGGATACGATATTTCAGGGAAAAATTGTCAGATCATCAAGAAAATCGACAGAGATCATCTTCATAATGACACTGACTTACAAAATAAAAATCAAGCAGAGCCAAATGTGAATGGACCGCCAGGGTGATTACAATATACGCCCAAAATATATTTGTGGTCGTAAAACAAAACTGTCACCAACACCGGTTGTACATGTTTAAACATCATCATCATCAGCTACGACTGAACATGTATAAACAAAACAATCACCAGCATATTTAGCAGTACAGTATGAAATATTCAACCTTCAGTCATACACTTCTTCTGAACTCTTCAGGGCGATACTGAATAATATTGAGTATGAGTTATTGCCCGTGTTCTTGAAAACGTGTTCAATTTTTGGCTCGTGAAAACTCTAGAAGGCAAATATTCAATCTTCAGCGCGGGATTGAGTAATAAAACCAAGTTTTGCCAAAATCCAGCAAGAATCATGCCTTTTAGTGTTTAAGAGCTAAATTTGAAAGCGTTTTCAAGCGCAAGGGCAATAACTCATACTAAATATTTTTCAATTCTTTTCTTTTCTTTTCAATTTTCAATAGGGTCCATCCTTGGGTGGTTACGAACATTCACATCAAGTTTCATCAAAATCTGTCAACAATTTTGCCTTCTAGAATGATTACGAGCTAAAAATTGAACGCCTTTTCAAGAGCAAGGGCAATAACTCATACTAAATATTTTTCGATTTTTCTGATTTTCAATAGGGTTTATCCTCGGTTGATAACAAACACTCATGCAAAGTTTCGTTAAAATCCATCAAGAAATGTTCCTTCTAGAGTTTTTATGACCTAAAATTTGAAAGCGTTTTCAAGAACAAGGGCAATAACTCATATTAAATATTTTTAGATTCTTCTGATTTTCAATAGGGTTCACCCTTAGGTGGTAACGTACACTCATGCCAATTTTCGTAAAAATCCATCAAGAATTGTGCCTTCGAGAGCGTGTACGAGCTAAAAATTTAACGCGTTTTCAAGAACAAGGGCAATAACTTATACTAAATTTTTCGATTCTTCTGATTTTCACTAGGGTTCATCCTTGGGTGATTACTCATGGTACCAAGTTTTGTCAAAATACGTCAAGAATTGTGTCTTGTAGAGTGTTTACGAGCAATTGTGGACGGACCGACGGACGGACATGGGTGACGGCAATACACGCCCCCCATTTCATGTGGGCGTATAAAAATCATTACCAGCGACAGCAGTAAACAACCATCACTATCGACGGCTGTATAAACAATCACCAGCGACGGTTGTACATTTATAATCAAAACCATCACCAGCGACGGCTGTTCATGTATAAACTAATATCACTATACAGCTGTACAGCTGTACAAGTATTAACAAAATAATCACATGCAACAACTGTACATTTTAACAAACAGCAATTGGGGCCAGGACAACTGTCCATTCAAACGAGTAACAAGTATGTCAACTAACCTGCTTGCCATATTTATTAATGAAATGTAAAAGGAGCTTGCCAAACTTCTGACTATTGGCTAAGCTCTGAGCAGAATCTAATAAGCAGCCAATCAAATTATTTGTAATATCTTGGCTCATTTCTACCTTCTGATCAATCATAGCTTGTACAATGGAAATTACATTTTCATTTAATGCTTTTATTTCTGATACCAAGTGCCTACAAGACAAAACAGAAGGTTCGATATTTGTATAAAACTAAGCCTTACGAAATGCACAAAAAAGATGTAAAATGAAATGTTACATTCTCAAAACCAGATAATAAAAGATCACATAATGAAAAGAAGCCAAATGTTTAATGGACAATTATACAGATTATAATTACTTTACTTAATAAAATAAAAACAAATTATTTATCAAAGTAATTATTAAGCTTATATATTTTTATGTAATTGCGTCCAGTCCAGTATTCTCAAATACTCAATTTTGATGGAAATTCAATATTGAAGCATAAATTTTGTAAACGAAAGGTTCGGCTCACTCCTAATAAATAGTAACGGTGGGGCTTTCTATCGGTAACCCTCTTTTCTGATATTCATAGTGGAAATATGATCTTTTTGGTATCAAAGGTTTCTTTGAAACTGAGAAAAAGGAGATATTTACAAAGTAACAAAATAAAGACTATATTGCCATAGTTTTCCTCAGTAAATATTGATGGTGACTGAGATTAAGGATTTATTTACAAGGTTACAAAATAAGGACTATATTGCCATAGTTTTCTTCAGTAAATATTGATGGCGACTGAGATAAAAGATTTATTTACAAGGTTACAAAATAAAGACTATATTGCCATAGTTTTCCTCAGTAAATATTGATGGTGACTGAGATTAAAGATTTATTTACAAGGTGACAAAATAAATACTATATTGCCATAGTTTTCCTCAGTAACTATTGATGGTGACTGAGATAAAAGATTTATTTACAAGGTGACAAAATAAAGACTATATTTCCACAACCTACCTCAGTAAATATTGATGGTGACTGAGATTAAAGATTTATTTACAAGGTTACAAAATAAAGACTATATTACCATAGTTTTCCTCAGTAAATAATGATGGTGACTGAGATAAAAGATTTATTTACAAGGTTACAAAATAAAGGCTATATTTCCACAACCTACCTCAGTAAATATTGATGGTGACTGAGATTAAAGATTTATTTACAAGGTTACAAAATAAAGACTATATTGCCATAGTTTTCCTCAGTAAATATTGATGGTGACTGAGATTAAAGACTTATTTACAAGGTTACAAAATAAAGACTATATTACCATAGTTTTCCTCAGTAAATAATGATGGTGACTAAGATAAAAGATTTATTTACAAGGTTACAAAATAAAGGCTATATTGCCATAGTTTTCCTCAGTAAATATTGATGGTGACTGAGATTAAAGATTTATTTACAAGGTGACAAAATAAAGACTATATTTCCACAACCTACCTCAGTAAATATTGATGGTGACTGAGATTAAAGATTTATTTACAAGGTGACAAAATAAAGACTATAGTGCCATAGTCTTTCTCAGTAAATATTGATGGTGACTGAGATTAAAGACTTATTTACAAGGTTGCAAAATAAATACTATATTTCCACAACCTACCTCAATAAATATTGATGGTGACTGAAATTAAAGATTTATTTACAAGGTGACAAAATAAAGACTATATTGCCATAGTTTTCCTCAGTAAATATTGATGGTGACTGAGATTAAAGATTTATTTACAAGGTTACAAAATAAAGGCTATATTGCCATAGTTTTCCACAGTAAATATTGATGGTGACTGAGATTAAGGATTTATTTACAAGGTTACAAAATAAAGACTATATTTCCACAACCTACCTCAGTAAATATTGATGGTGACTGAGATTAAGGATTTATTTACAAGGTTACAAAATAAAGGTTATATTACCATAGTTTTCCTCAGTAAATATTGATGGTGACTGAGATTAAATATTTATTTACAAGGTGACAAAATAAAGACTATATTGCCATAGTCTTCCTCAGTAAATATTGATGGTGACTGAGATTAAAGACTTATTTACAAGGTTACAAAATAAAGACTATATTTCCACAACCTACCTCAGTAAATATTGATGGTGACTGAGATTAAGGATTTATTTACAAGGTTTCAAATAAAGGTTATATTACCATAGTTTTCCTCAGTAAATATTGATGGTGACTGAGATTAAATATTTATTTACAAGGTGACAAAATAAAGACTATATTGCCATAGTTTTCCTCAGTAAATATTGATGGTGACTGAGATTAAAGATTTATTTACAAGGTGACAAAATAAATACTATATTGCCATAGTTTTCCTCAGTAAATATTGATGGTGACTGAGATTAAAGATTTATTTACAAGGTGACAAAATAAAGACTATATTGCCATAGTTTTCCTCAGTATATATTGATGGTGGCTCAGATTAAAGGTTTGTTTACAAAGTGACAAAACAACTATAAAAATATAACTTACCTCAGTAAATATTGATGGTGACTGGGGTCAAAGGTTTGTTTAATTAGTTTACAAATAATATCTGTCTGTATGGGATCTAAAAACATAATAATTTATCTTATTTTCAAAAGGCTGTACAGATTATGGCATGCAAAAAATAATATTTTCAGAAAATTTAGATGCTTTCTTGCTAACCTAGAGGTCTAGGGTTCAATCACATCCCAGATCTGGATGATCTTTAACCTGGTTTCTCCCCTGTCATTGATGCATGTTTGGGGGCTGACATAGAAAAGGCCTCTGAACAGGACAATTGCTAAAGGCTATGCAAAATTCTTGACAGTTGTGAAGTGAAAAAGTGGCTTATGCCACTGTCCTGGCAAAATGCATAATGCATGGCAAGAGTACATTAGCCCAAACTGGAACAAAAAGAATAGAATGAAAAACGAATATCATTCTTACTTATTTCACTCTCTAAAATAATGCCAATTAAAATATCTATAGTCTGTTTTGGAAAAACTTCACCAACTCTAGAAATTAGATTTGTTAAGGTCCTGGATGGGGCTTGCTTGATTTCTGAAAACTGAAATACATAAATGAATAATAATGATACAGTTAAAGCATATATTGTAATTCTCGAGAAATAAAAAATAATGCTGTATTATCAGATATAAAATCATCCTTATTATTCATTTGAATGTAAACAACTTTAATGTTTATTTATAGTAAACTACTGGTTGTTGAGGGTTCTAATCTTGGTTGAAAAGGAAAAGAAGAGGGCAGACAAAGCTAGGTCTGCCTTAGTTCTAGAAATATAACTGTTTACAAAAAGTTGCTGAAAAATCATGAAAAATAGTTCCTTCATAAAATAAACCAATCTCACCTTATACTGGAGAGAATGCTTGAGAAAATTGACAATGGTTTCATATGATAAACAATCTGAGTTTTGTATAAAATATTCACAGATTGCAGATAAACTATCATCTTCTATAATCCATAGTTCCATATAGACTAGATAATCTTTAATCTAATAAAACACACAAAGAAATTAAATCAAAACATTTTGAAAATATTAAACTATTATCTTCTATATTTCACAGTTCAAGATAGACTAGATAATCTTTAATCCAATAAAACACACACTAAAAACTAAATCAAAACTATTTAGAAAATATTAAACTATCATCTTCATATTTCATAGTTAAAGATAGTACAGATAACCTTTAAGGGGTTCTAAAGAGACTTTCTAAATTTTGTGTGTATCTGGAACACTGATAGTATAGTCACTAAAAGGCCTAATGTGTTAAAGCATATTTTGCAATTGGCGACATCAACAAACACTTAGTTTTAGTGGAAGTGCAGGATAGAAGATAGCTAGGCCATAACAAATGACAAAAATCAACCTTTTCTAAATAAGGTGCTCTCTGTAAAAGGACAACCAATTTTTCCAGTTGAATTTACATGCAATTTGATTGGTTTACTGTGTACATAGGAACGTTCAAAGGTCATAGACTTACCAGATCACTAGAACTATGTATAAATAGTCTAAAACTTGGCATATTCTGTCCTTGTAACCAGTTCCCTTTTAATTCTCTTAATTCATTCTACAAGAAATTTATCCTTTTAGATGTTATAATTTACATTTTATTGGAATTTGCATGCAAATAATAAGATTAGCCAATATTGTATGATAAATTGAAGGGTTTTATTGTGAAAACATTATTCAACTTATAAAAAGTTATGAGCAAATGAATATTACAAAATGTTAATAAACCAACCATTACCCTTACAGAAAACTTATTTAATATGACAGTGTTCACAAAGTCCTGAAAAATTGAGTTCATTGAGAGTAAAATTTATCTTGAAACTAAGATATTTTCTTACTTTGAAGCTAATCTGCCACTTTCTCTAAAGAATCCCATAAAACAAATAAGGTAGAAAGAAGTTTAATTATCTAAATTAAGTCCTCCTAGAGTACATTATAAATCAAAGTTTAAACTATACTACCTTAATATCTCCTGTTAGACACGTCATCAATTCTTCATAATCCTTAATATTATCATTATCTATAAAATATATGTTAAAAGTATACTATCTCTTGGAATGGCCAAAAAAAATTAATTTTTAAACTTGGCCAAAGTGAAGAATTTATTCTACTTTCACTGCCAAAATTGCGTTAGGTGCATTCTCCGCCTTCCTTGACTAGAAAATTTTTTTCAAGGGAAAGGCCCTTAAAATCCAAATGGGAGTCTTCATTAAAGTCTGTGAACTTGTATTTAGTTCCAAGTTTTATCAAATTGGTCAAAAAACTGTATATTCTATTCAGATTATTTACAAGTAAAAGGAACAGACAGATGGATGGAATAGGGTGAGATGTGAGCATATAAAACATACTATGCTCCTTTAACTTTTTGGTATTATCTTCAAAACTTTCAGTCAAGCTTCTTTTTCTTTTTTTACTGTCCGTCTGATTGACATCTTCTTCATCAGATGATATAATAATACTTTCACAGTTATCTTCTCTCTTGGCTGTATTGGATTGGTTTTGATCTAGTTTCTTTGATGATCTATTTAGATTCACTTCAATTGCCCCAAAAACTTGTTGCTTGGCTTCAACTTCTAAGTCAAATTCACCAAATAATTCAGGACTATCTTGAGGCTGTTGTTTCATTTCTGGACTCTTGTCTTTCAATTCTAGGTAAAACAATAAAAAAAGGTTAACCATACGAGGTTACGGATCATAAAAATCTACATTAAAATCAAGATAGTAGATCTCACCTGATACTTCAAAATTCTTCCTTTGCCATGGTATAGTTGTATTATGTGAAGCTTGTGATAAATTCTGTAGAACATCCTGATAAAGTTGCTTATTGCCCTCACTAGAACAATGTTTCATTTTCCCTGAACCTTCTTCAATACCACTCACTAAACTCTCATATAGCCTCTCTGTCCAAGCATCCTGATGCACATGGTCTTTAATCAAAGAGAGAAACTCTGTTAAATCACTGTGGTTGATTGAGTCTCTATGATTATGTAAAATTAATAACAGATTTCGCTGGATGTCTGATGTTAACAGCACAAATATTGGTTTCCTGAAATAATCAGTTTAATTATGGAAAAGCAGGATTTCAAGCTATTGTATGTGTATCCATGACACTTATGCTTAATGGTATTTAGGATAGTGACTTCATATCATATTTTTCTGGAATCACAGAACCAGGAATAATATATGCAGCCATAAATTTGAGTCCTGGGTAACCTATAGGCCTACATTTTAGGGCTATAAAACCTCATAAAATATCATATTATCCAGTGAGAAGCCTGCATCGCAAGTGTTATGAAAGCTATTTTGACAGAAAAACTGTTATAAACAACTTACATTATGATTGCATGATCATCTATCATTGGTTCAAGACGAATTAGATCTCTTATTAGTGTTGTCCAGTTCTGAAATTCTCTATAACCAGATCCCAATGTGGTCTGAATCCATTCTTCAGCTAAAACTAAGTTATCTCCCTTATCACACAAAACGTTGAAAAGACCCTGCCATTCAGGATTAATCTTTTTGAAAAGTTTCCCATTCTGTTTTCTTCGTGCAGATATCATTTTAAACAAATGAATATGTGGATTGAAATCGTGAATGATAATTATGATACATGTATGTGACTCAACAAAATGACATTATTCATTCCATTCATTGTTGTCAGTCATGTCATTGTCGGGCCCAAATCCATTCAATCGTCAGTCTCTAGTTATCTAATCTCAGTGAAAGAATACTATAGCATACTTTTCTCTGTTGTCAATTGGTTAAGCCTTCCGAATGTCGCATTTCTACAGCATTTTGTATTTATCTGCCTCAAAACAGTTCAATTTTTCCGCCATCTTTCTCAACTACTTTCACTTTCGGTTGGCATAAAATCCAGATTTGGATTTAATAATTGAGTCACGATTAGTTGTTGTTTCATGAAAATGCTATAAGTTCGAATTTGACTGATCGCAGCACATATCTTTTTGTATTTATGAAATTTATTTCCCTGCTTGCTCAGAATGTGGTGATCCAACAATTGTTCATGGTGATAAAGGATGAGACCAACTTTCCCAAGTATGCATAATATGTGTAATAAGAATTGGACTTCTTACAGGGTTAAAGCAAACATTTGTTGGGTAAAGCCAAAGGCTGTACTTATTCTACTGCTCCATAACATAACCACTGACAATCAGACAAAATAACAAAAAAACTGTACTAAAAATTGTTTATTAAAAATAAATAACAATTGATACATAATAAATAAGACAATACATGACAAAGCAATGATATAGATGTTATATGAAGCAAATACAGACCAAAAAGAATGAATAGATGAGTGACAAGGAAAAAAAATTAAACACCATAATATCCCTATTTGGGATAGCAATTTAATCAAGAATTCTTATACTCTGTGGAACTTTGAAATCTTTAAAAGTTTAATCAAAAACCTTAATTATTCGCACTAAAAATTCATTTTAAAAAGAATTTGTGTAAGAGTAACACTTGTTTAAAAGATTCAATCTAGATAGTAACCTTTACAATTAAAAATAATATCAGAATCCCACTGCCCAGTATCAAAATAATTGCTTAACGAATTCATCAATCATTCATCATCCCCAGAATCATCACTGTCATCTGTTTTCTTTTTATAACCAAAAATAGTTTTTTTCTGAGGTAATTCATCATCTGGTACTTTGATGACACCTAAAATAGATAAAATATGGTATGAAAGAAGCAGCACTTGAATAATAAAAAAAAAAAAAAAAAAAAAAAAACATATTTACAAGGGTAATTCATATTCAGCTGATCCTTGTCAAAAGCATTTGATAATGTTGTAAGATAGATATAGATTGGAGAATAATGAGAAAAGATGACTTTTGTTACAATTTTTGAATTTTGGAAGATTTTGCTCCCTTGTGGCCAGCGCAACGGACTTTGTAATAGATTGAAAATAATTGTCAATAGTACTGTCCCAATTTAACCCTTTGAATAAATAAATAAATGAAATAAAACATCATATACCCTGAACTCCAATTAATATAAGCTAAAGCATGTGACGTCACTTGGTAACAGCCATTTATGGTTGGTAAACCGGCTGCTAGGGTTGAAAAGGTTAAAAGGAAATTGTTTTTTTTTAAATTCCAAGGAATGAATCCTTATGGTTAAAAATACATAGGCCTACCTGCTTTTGCCAGTCTTTTTTCTAAAACATTGGTAGTAAAACTATCCGATATACCTAACTCTTCAAAACCAACAATTCTGTAACATAGAAATAAAAAAGTATAATCTATGGATCTGGTGTTCTGTATGGCTATAATTCAGAATTAAACTTGACAATACAAAACATCTAAGAAAAGCACATCATAACAATTATTGTTATGTTAAGCAGTTCTGTTGTCATTATAGGCATCTTTGAGAGTAACCCTGAATTTAAAATGCTGGACCAAAAGCACATAACACATCTTAAACTCATATTAAGCAAAAAGATTTAATAAAAGAGTTATTCAATTGTTCCAAAAGGAATATCTCTGGGTGTATCAATTATCAAGAATTAAATAAGTCATTTAACTTACCTATCTACAACAATACCTTTCTTGAAACAATAAATAGCAGGAAGCACTTGAACTTTTAACCTCTCTACTAAAAATTTGGCATTTTCTACATTTATTTTTGCAAATTTAGTTTCATAATATTTTCTGCCCAATTTCTGTAATAAAAAAAAATCAAATCATGTTTTGCTTTATGATTTCCAATTTTCAAGAGATCGGTTTTTCATCCCACTTATATCTGAACCATATATCTGAAATTGACTGATCCCAAATAATTTTTGAATTATTGCAGAATGCTGCAATTTGATTGGATTGTATGCCATTGAATACAGCCAATCATAGCCCTCAAGAGAGAAGACTGTTAAAATATTTGCTTATAAATTACAAACTTTCTGTCAAGGGCTCTGATTGGCTGTATTTGCTAAAATACGAGGCAACCCAAACATTGAATGTTGCATTTTCAAATTTCCGTGATACAAAAAAGATCGTTATTGTAGTCCAGGACCTTGACTCAAGGTAGAAGATGGATACAAAATAACACAAGTGAAATACAAAACACTCAGTATTTAAACCAGTGCTGCATTCATTACAAGTCAAAATAAAAAGGGTTTTAGTTTAAATTACTTACTTCCAAGTGTGTATCCATGATAGCACATCTTCTAAAATCACTGTGATAAAAATGTACAATACACCTGTCAACACTAGTTGTTAGATCTAAAAATTCTTTATCAGTCTGTAAATCACTGAAATAGATTATTATATCAATGATTCCTTTCTGGTAACTTGACCTCTGTATCACTTTTCATAATACAAACTGCAAACAATCATGGAAATTTATTATGTTGTCTGGTAAATTACTGTTATCACAGGTAGTTATGTCCAATGACATTACGTCAATGTATTAAAGATCAATGAGACCGTGGGAGGGACGACAGCAACAGCAATGCTGTACTTTCAGCATAACTCTAAAGACCTAATGATGACAACAATTTCATCAACTCAAAGACATTGACAATCATTATTCTTTTGAGTTCAATTCATAAAAAAATTATTGACAAAGTCCGATTCTGTAAACATGGTGGTCTAACAATAACTTGGATTTAATAATTAATAACATTTAATAATGTCTATCAACTTACGTGTAAATGCCATGTTGCTGTTCTCTCATCTGAACATATTCTTTAGCTTGTTTTTTAAGGTTATCTAACCTAGCTTCACGAATGTGGGATGGTATGTCTTCATTTTCTAATTCTTCCCATAATTTCTGATAATACAAAACATATGATAAATACATTCTTAATATGAAAGTTTAGTGCCTTAAAGTGATACGTCTTAGGAAGAACATAAAATTTAAATTTTGCTCAAATTTGGCCAATAACAGTATATATCCATCAATGGACTTACCTGGTCTCCTAACTATACATCAAAATCCCTCTATAATCCGATATATCCACAAAATCAAGTAATTAATACATCCATTAAGCGATTTTCAAATCGTGAGTCTAGGAAATCCAGAGTAATATTCAAGGGGAAGTAACTCTCAAGTGGGGTTTCCCGCGTCCTTGACCTCTACTCTTGTATTGACCTCAACATTGTCAGACATATTTTGAAGACGGAAAAATAATGCCTAGTAGGAGATTAAGCAACTCCGTGAAAAAGCAATTCATATAATTTAGAATGAATACTCCACCACTAACACAATTTTCAACAAATATTAATCATTGGCAAAGTTTTTCTCAAACTGAACGGACTTGTCGCTTGCTCACTTTTTATAAAAATTTTGATTATAGTTTTATTATCGCTTTTTCAAACTTGATAAAGTGTGGGATGCATACTTATTTAACCAATGGTCACTATTAAACACAAATATTAGCCACAGGACGAGTGTATTCTAAGATGTAGTATCACTTTAACAGATTTTAAATGGTGCATCTTGACTAGTAATACTAGTCTAAGTTTAAACATAAATATCAACATGTAATGCAAATTTCACGTTTGTGATTCATTCATCCCAATTCTGACTTCATTTTTTATTATCAAATCTATGGTAGAGGATTTCAACAAAATGATCAGGTACAAGAACAATCTTGTTGATCATTTATTCATAAAATTAATAACTTATATGCTCAATGTCCATCTTATCAATGATTCACATTCCTTTGCCCGGCTTTGGCTTCACAGTAAGTCCTCTGTTTATTCTTTTCCCTTTCCTCATTTTGCAAATTACTCTGAGTTACCGGTGATTTATTTAATAGGGATATCATGTAAATCACAAAATTTTTAACAAAGATATTCAATACTTACCTCTTCAACTAAAGACTGGTCGTCTAAAATTGCATTTGCTTCGACAACAGAAGTTTGGGTCGCCATGTCTAAACAAATCACGCACCTGTCAATGGGAGATAACTCTGAAATGTTACTGCGTCCGGGTTAACAAGACTGAAAAACTTTTATCTGATGTTTCTGAAGTCTAGGTTTAAAGCTATGCATTAAATAACAAATTTGTTGACAACATAACTATGGAAACCAATCTTTTCTATGTAATCATGTCATTTCCAATGTGTTGTTAAGTTTATTTGTTGCCTAATTGTTTTTGACGCAAATTAAAATTGTAACCTATATTTAGTACAGATTAAAGTTAATTAAATGTTAATACTATTAAATAAGCTTAAATCAATAAAACTGATTAGATCTAGAAGACATGGGAGCGATAATTAGTTAATTGGATAAACACTAATGAACTGTGTACAAAACGTCTTGGGGACGACATGAAGAAAATGTGTCTGGAAGATCAAACCTTTACAACTAAAGCAATGTAGCGATATCACTACGCTTGAAAAAATAATTGATTGAATTGTATCTTTCAAGAATATAGAGCATTTATGAATATTTAATGATAAGATAGTCAAGATGACAATATTAAACTAGTATTATAGTAGCTTGAGATTCATATTGATGTCCAAATTCCATTTAACAGGGAACTATTTCATTTGCAAATTATTCTTAATTGATGGTCGTTGGGCTGTCGTCTGCTAGGCCTAGTTTCATTTTGTTGACGTTGTTCACTCATCAAGTCACAACCTTTTTTGCCAAGGGATTCAGAATGCCTAAGCAAAGTAAAAAGCAAAGCGAGAGGGTAGTTACAAAAGCGTTAAAGGAGGATTTGAAAAATGTAGTTGACGATGTTAACGTGGAATCGCCAGTCGAAAGCATTGACAGCAGCCCTCTTCACGAAAGAGGTACGGTAACCACGTACTCACGTAGGACGAAGCCTATAACGCTCAAATTATAATTATACTAATATTAAAATGACAGGATGTGTCTACACCTATCTAAACAAATTGATACTAGATAGGGGAATACCACCAGCGTATTATATCATATAAATATAATATATGACTATCTATGTTGTAGGCTAGGGCCCTAACCAAGGTCTACTAATTAGAATGTATGAATGATGATGTGCTTATGGCTATTTTAGGCTATATTTTGTCTGTTCAATCCCAGTGAGGTACCATGTCGTATGTGCTAATCTTTCAGCCTTTCTTTCACATCAAATGTACATATTTTAGATGGCGAGACACCGATTGTTTCTCGAGGTAAAAAGCGACAAGCACCAACAGAAGATGAAGAGAACACTGGGGGAGATTTTGGGTAAGAAATGACCTAGGACCAGGCCAAGCTTTCCCATTCTAGTTTGGACTTTTGCACCTCGACTTATAATGAGACTAAGTTTTAATTGAACTCATATTAGGAACATTACCGGTACGGTATAACTAAACATGAGGTAAGTGACTTCTGATGGCTTTTATGATGAGATTCTCCTTGTCTTCGCTATCAGAACTAGCAAGGTGTGATTATTTAAACCTTAACTTCTATTTTCAGCCACGAAATGCAGAAAATGCTGGAATGTTTTGGAGGTATGTTGATGGGCCTATTATGCCCAAAATCTTGCTTAGAATTTACCGTAGAATATCACACTATGTAAAATCTTTGAAGGTAAAATATACAAACATCAGGATCAATTTCCTTCATTATGATTGAAAATAAGCTCATACCGGTACCAAAACCGTGGGGCGTCTCCAGCAATCTGTGATTCAAATGTCATGTATTTCAATACTGATATAAATCTTTGTAATCTGTTCCAATTTCGGAATCAAGGCTAATCTTTGTGTTTTGTTCATTTTTCCAGCTGATATTAGTAAAACCTTGATATCAAAAAGAAAAAGATTAGAACAGTTGACACACAGCACATTAAAAAGTACAAATAAGAGGGTCGAAGATATCTGGAGAGCTCAACAATTGGAACGGTAAGGATATGTAAGCTAAGTTCTGTAAGAACAACCCCAAGAACATTTTGTCTGCCCTTCAATTTCTGCTCTGTTTCTTGTCCACAGAAAATGCAAGTTTTTTCCACCAAACTGTAGGAACTGTTTATAAAATACACAGAATTTCCTTTCAACCACTGGGGACATCGAGAAATGTTTGGATTTGAATCTTCAGAGGATGTTGACGAAAATAGGTCTACTGATCGAGTTCATAGTAACAGGACGAATGTCTTCAAGCAATGTTCAATAAACTTACCGTGCCCCTATTTCTAGTCTTTATAAGGTTATTATATAGTTTGTTCCAATTCTTAGAGTAAAGTTACAAGAAGAATATTGTAAACAAGTTGGCTCAGTATTTTCACAGTGGGAGGTTGATATTGAAAAAACCAAGGAACAAGAAGAGAAATTAACTGTATGTTTAATTATCTCTTTTAATTACTTTATCCATCGAAGACAAAATATACACACCGGATTATAACAATACATCCGTTGTTTTGAAAGGGAACGGACGTATTGATGCCATTGATGGACTTTGTTGTGTCTGTTTTATTTTTCAATTTTTTGACAGGTACATCTAAAGCGGTCTATCATAAAACCATCATAAAATTTAACACTGACAGAAACCAAACCATGCTCAGTTATCGTGGGTCATTTCTTGGGTTATCATTTTAGGTTTTATTCAAACAACAACAGAAATTATTTCAACAATCTAGAATCGTTCAAGGTCAAAGACTGAAGACTATTCGACAGCTTCAGGAACAATTTTCTAAGGTTTGATTGTTTCTTTCAACGCTGTTATCTACTTGTTTAATCAGAATGTATACAATCACCTACAACGGTTTCCAACACTGAAGACCATTGTAGTCGCTCGACTATTGCAAGAACAAAATTATTTTTTCGGATATTTTCATTTAGTCCATCGTCGTTTCAGACAGCAATGCAAAATGACAAAACCCTCGAAGAATCTTCCATCTTCAGCTCTTCATCATTCTCCAGAGCTGAAAACGACGAACTTGTAGTGCAGGAAAAGCTTAAAATTCCCCTATGCAGCTGCAATATACTTTTACTTGGTTATTAGTCTACAAATTTGAAAGACTTGATTTGAACAGAATTGGATGATAAATAACAAACAAACAAAATTGTTGAAATGTAAGAGCTGGTATACAAAGTTTAAATCAATAACCAATGAATTACTGTATTTCTAGGGAATGGATGAATTAGATAAATGTCACATTTCACAGCAATCTAATGTCCAGTCGGAACTGAAGAAAGAAATGGCTTTACTGCAGAAAAAGATTTTAATGGATACGGTAGGTATAACATGGAATAGTTAGCCAAAATCTCTTTTTTAGAGCTGAGCGGAGTAATCCACAGAAACATGTCTTGGTATTAAAAATCACAAAATATGCGATGAAAAAGTTTTTTAACGTATTTCAAGCTCCTTATTTTTGAAAGCCTGGACGCTCGGTTGGCTGTAGAAATGTAGAATAAGGCTTTAATGTAATGTATTTTTCTGAATCCGAAGCTTGGACTATGTAGCATACAGGTCTCTATTGCCACAATTACTTAAAAGCTAAACAATTCTATGCCAATCAGTATTTCCTGACCTGCATCACTGGCAATGAGTTACCAGAAACTAAGTACCGAAGTTTGATAGATCAATGCACTAAAAGAGAACATAAAGCGTGGGATTGAAATATGTCAAGTGTAAATTTCAAACAACGTTGAATACATGTAAATATAACTGAACGTAGTTTAATTTCAATAAATTAAAACAATTAACCTGTTTTTTTTCCAGCAACAACAGGAAATGGCTAATGTTCGCAAATCACTTCAAACCATGTTGTTTTAGTTATTTAGTGTTGATGAACTATTTTTAATTATGGATAATATTCGATTGATGTTAAACTGAATTGACCAAAGTTAATGATACGTGGTTCAAAGAAGTATCATATTATATTGTTTATAGAAAATCGACAAGCCGTAAGAACTTATCAGCGCTTCATTTGTAAACTATTTCTGGTTATCTGGAAACGACCTTTTATGTAAAATATTAATTTAAGTTTTTTTTAAACGGTAAAGTATAACTATGTAAGTGCTTGAAGTTAATGATAGTTTTAAAAACCAATTTTTGTTTTCAGAGATATCAAATCTCAATAGACACAAACAAATAATTATAATTACAATTCTTGACTTATACACATGGAGAATACACATATCCCCAGGTAATCAGGACCTGCATTTATTTGTCCAGAGGATTCTATTATAAATTGGCTGGAGCTGTTTACACGATTTAATTCGTCTAATATTAAAATGACCTAAAGTCAGTCAATGAGATATAATGTCCCAAGTTGTTATTTATTTTCCTATTATGTATTTATATATAAATTGTTTTGTGAATGTTATAAATAATAATGAATATGAATAAGGTATTTTTATTCACTAAACGAGTGTACGTGCAGATAGCATTAGGATTTGGTTTAAAAATCAAACGAGTTTTACATTACTCATACGCCTAAAATGCAAGTCAAATATGGTAGAGGGAATCCCCATTACCCCAAAATTGTGTGTTTAGATTTAAAAAAAAAATAGGCTAGTAAATTCATATTTAAACGCCAGTGACAGAATAATGACTTTAAGAATTAATTCGTTCTTTATCGACTAACAGAAATTTCGATTACTTATATTTTAGCCAACTATTAAAAGTAGTCCGAAACATACTTTAAGAATATGACTACTGATTCCTAAGAACCCCAGTGGTTACCCTTTTAGAATGTAGAGCTTTTATATTTTTCGTCTCAAAAGCCATTGTATCACAAGAGAACGCTGAACCTTTGCCAATGGTAATTTAATGAATAATTTTTCTGACTAAGACCATCCAACATTCTTACAGAATAGTTTTCTGCGATTAGAAAATAGGCATTGTGTTTCGCCATCCTACTTAACTACACAGACAGACATACAGACCTGTTCGTATTTGTACAAGTTTCCCACAAAGACAGACATAGCTTCTAAGGCCGTAACTGGAATCTTTTTTCTATGAGGCAAACAGTGACCACTCTCACTGTAGACATCAAATAATCAATAGCAGATATCGTTTTTATATTTGTTTATTGAACAAATTACATTTTTTGGGGTCAAATTCTGCGTAAGGCATTTGCCTCATTGGCGACGATGTAGTTACGGCCCTGGCTTACTGAGACAATTATGACAACAATTAACAGTAATTATAACTGAGGGGACAATGGTAATTATTGAAGGAACATTGATTATTATTGAGGCAATATATATCAAAAAGGGAACAATGATTCCATTTGAGACGAGAAAGAATTTGAATGGTACCATTTATAAACCGAAATGGAATCTGTCATACAATGATGGATCTTTCTATGATACAACAAACCAAAGTTTCTGTTACTATGGCTGTCATTTTAATGAATTAGTTTGTTGGTTCATTGAAAATGGGACAAAATTTGATGAAACTAGAGTAAGGATGAACCATGAAAATGAGATTCGTCATAATGAATTAGATAACCAGTTTATTCTTTGTGAGCGACCATTAAAAGATGACAATATGAGAAGCAATACAAGCTCATTGTCACGTATATATCGTGTTATAGATAGCTGATCCAAACCGACTTCTACGAACTGTGAATCACTTTACCGATAAAATATCATCTTCTTGTGTGAAATTTATAACCACTTTGGTGTCCCTGTTAATTTGTCTTCACGGTTTGAAAGATAATGGTCGTCTAGGAAATAAATTGTATCAATGTCTACCATTATTTCTGCTGTCAACATCACCCATGGTTTTTGCGATGTCACGCAATTCAATAATTTGTTTATTTCTTTTATGGCATTGTGACCACCACAAGAAACCATACTAAATTTCTCAGTCCAATGCTGACCATATTTACATAAAACTATGTCATGTCACACTTAAGAAGTGCAAGGTATTTACAGTTACATATAACCATCTCAACATTTAAATTCACTTCTTGTACTTCTACTGCCAGTCCAGAGCAAAACAAAAAACAATATGTCTATGAACACCTTTAGCTACTCTGCGACAGAGTACTGAACTGGCTTCTTTTTCGAGTCAACATATATAGTTTATATCATTAATTTGGTATGTCAATTTTGGAAGGCCATATTCAATTTGTCTGTTGAACAATCATTCGTTTGTTACTGGTAGATATTCCAAAGACTACATCCCTTTAATACAATCAGGCTAATCGCAGTGTTATTGTCAGTTTTTTTTTAAACATAACAATCACTCAGGTGTTAATGTAATAATAATGTTGATGAAAACCTCTATTATTATTTTAATGTCAATATGAAATTTCACAACGGTAAATTATACTTATTGGTAATCAGCCAACCATGCATTCTAAGACAAAATCGATCACATCCAATTTGCCCAAATACAAGATAATTAAACGACGATTCCTTGGACTCCGAAAATTAGTTATCTTTGAAATCAGCTCCATTTCCAGGTATTTACATGGTGCCTTTGAACACCTGATGTAATTTTGCTGCTGGATTTCTCAACCAGTCTCCCATTTCAGTAAAAACAGTTAATTCTAGCAAGACTACCGCGGTATTGATACTAACACGCAAGGGAGTCATTTGGCTATTTCTGATAAAATAAAATCATTAAATCATTCGATAAATTAAAAAAACAATCGGCTTTGGCCAATGTCAATGTTATTCGGTAAGACCAATGTCAATGGCATTTCTGTTCAATGTCACTGACCGACAAAAATATTGGCTCTTAATGGTGTCAATGTTATTTTGCTATGAACAATTTTATTAGATTCTTGTAAATGTAATATTTTTTGGACCTTCAATTTCAATATTACATGGCTAAAGTCAGTTCCGAAAATATTTGGCTCTATTAACTATGTCAATGTTGCCTCTGCTCAATGCCAATGTCGTTTGTTTCTGATCAAAGTCAATTATATTCAGTTCTGATCAAGGTCAATGTTGTTTGGTTCTGATATATGTCAATTATATTCGGTTCTGATCAAGGTCAATGTTATTTGGTTCTGGGCAAGGTCAATGTTGTTTGGTTCTGGTAAATGTCAATGTTATTTGGTTCTGGTCAAGGTCGATGTTGTTTGGTTCTGCGCAATGTCAATGTTATGTGGTTCTGGTCAAGTTCGATGTTGTTTGGTTCTGCGCAATGTCAATGTTATTTGGTTCTGGTTAATGTCAATGTAATTTGATTCTGGCCAATGTAAATGTTAATCAGTTCTGATAAATGTCAATGTTATTTGGTTCTGGTTAAATTCAATGTTATTTGGTTCTGGTCAATTATCATTATTATTATTATTAAATTACATTATTACGTTCTGGTCATTGTCAATGTTTTTTTAAAATGTTATTTGGTTCTGGTCAAGGTCAATGTTATTTGGTTCTGGTCAAGGTCAATGTTATTTGGTTATGATCAATGTCAATGTTATTTGGTTTTGGTCAATGTCAATGTTATTTGGTTATGATCAACGTCAATGATGTTTAGTTCTGGTAAATGTCAATGTCATTTGGTTCTGATCAATGTCAATGTTATTTGGTTCTGATTAATGTCAATGTTATTTGGTTCTGGTAAATGTCAATGTTATTTGGTTATGATCAATGTCAATGTTATTTGGTTCTGATCAATGTCAATGTTATTTGGTTCTGATCAATGTCAATGTTATTTGGTTCTCAATGTCAATATTATTTGGTTCTGATCAATGTCAATGTTGGCTCTGTTCAATGTCAATCTTATTTGGTTGTTATCAAGGTCAATTTGAGCTCTGACCTATTCCAATGTTGGCTCTGATAAATAAATAAAAATCGTTTATGATGACAGTGACTTTCGTTTATAAGCTCAATAGCATCTCTGAATAAACCAAATGACGTTTTGGCCCAGGTCAGTCTGTGAACCGGTGCTCTTGGAGAAGTTCAAGATTCCGGTACTTTACGTTTCATTAAACGTACTACGTGATACATTATAAATTATGTGTCATTACAAGATTAATATAATTTGGTTGACCGCAACTATAATTTAATTCCATTAAAACACCATGGTGGTGGGTAATCAAGCAGATATATAGATCCAGCTAAAACTGAATCTATTGCGTATAGACAATCACTCATTTCACTGGCTATTGACAGTCAAGCTACCGGAAGTTAATATCCGACCGGTAATGCTGTTAAGAATTTAAGTCACGACAATGCCCTATTCAGAACCTCTTTCATGTCTTAATTTTAAAACTATTTTAACACACTGGAATATTTAGCTAATTTCTAGATATTGTAGCAGAAACGAATAGGTTTCAGACCTGATTGCACTTCTTTTTTGCAGAATTCTTTGTAAAACGTTGTGAATGCAAGTATTTCCACAAAATTACACCAACGCCCATTCTGACCACAGTCTAGTTGCCAATTAAATATGACATTCTCGCATGTGTCAACCTCTATCTGTTCTTATGAACTTGATTTTGCTGTCATTAAAGTGGATCCTCGGGGACTTAAATATAAAAGAATCCCGAAGCTTAACCAACAATTCCAATAATAGTACATTAGTAGTAGGCTCTATGACTTACCGTTACATTATCTTTTCCATATCTCTATTATTACCCTTAAATTAAATTGTTTAAATTTATATATCAAATGTTATCATAAGTAACGTAGGTTAGCCTCTTTAACTTTCATATCTTTAACCCTCTATCTGAATCCAGTCTTTGAACATTAATCGGTTAGTTTATTAAGTACTTGTAGTTAACTCTTAATCCGTTGATCTTATTCAACGTTCACTCGTTTATCTCTGTGCTTTCTTTATTCAATTTTTATTAGTTCAGCGACACTCGAAAGAGACACTTCTCTTTTTTTCATTTCCTTCCCACCCTTTCACCCTTTTTTGGTTTTAATTGTTGTTTTTTAGTTTATTTATTTTTTTGTGGCTTTTCTTAGTAATTAAAATAAATTTCGTGTCAAACTCTGCCTTCTAACTGTTTACAATTTTCATTAATTTGTATACGTATGTAATCGATATGCACCTATGTTATATTTTTCGCCATAATAAATTGTATATATTTATATTGACTTGTAGTCCATTGCCCACATAATAATTTTCAACTTGTAAAAAAAACCTGATTTAGATCATTACTTGAACGAGGAAAACCTTAGATCCGATTACTGGACAACACTTCTAATTAAGTTTGTAAAAAGCAGTTGTTACTATTACTGCAGCTGCAGTTGTTGTGTAAATAGCTGACGATGTGTTTTAGTTTTAAGCTGGTGTTCGGGTAGCTGCCTTGGCCATATGTTTGACTTTGTGAATTTGTACTCCATGGTCGTGTGTTTTGGTACAATTCGGTGACCTTTCTCTCTTGTTTGATTTAATTGAGTTGTTTCCAGCTGCTGTCTTTAAAGCGGTTTCTTCCCATATTGCCCCTTCCAATTCACCCTCAAATCATTTCTGTTGTTGTTGTCAGTATAGTTTAGCTATACGGCTTTAGCTGGTGTTAGTTTGGTGAAGCTGTCCATATCTGATTTTGGTGAATATTTAGCTGATGGTCATGTGGTCTCATATTGGTGACTCTGTAAAGTCTCTTGATGGTTAGAAATTAGTTGTGATGTTTCTTGCTGTCAATGGCTGGTGGTGTATTGTCCATGGCTATTACTGAGTTGATGTATGGAATCTTTGAGACTTATGGAGATACAGGCTATAGTGTAGCAAGTTTGTCACACTACACCTTTTAACTACTTTAGACACGGCATCCTTATTGCCAGATCGAAGGTTGATATAATGATTGTGGTTGTGTCAAGGATGTTTTTCTATTAAAACTCGTAAGTTGTGTGATTCACTATCAGTCGGGCTATCTATTTGAATAGATTAAAACTATAAAGATTAACCATTGGAAGGAAATTAAGTTGCTAGTACTTCAGACTTAATTCAAATGAATTACATGTCTATGAATTTGATTAAAAGCATAAAGGTGTTGATGGTAATATATGTACGTCAATCCGAGAGCTATTCCTATAATCCAAGTCTGGTAATAACGTGTCCAATGGTAATGACAACCAATTATTGATGTCAAAGAGTAATGATTGAAAAATGTCACACTCTGACCACACGATCTCTGTTATGTTGTTTGCTTAACAAATCCAAGCTGTAAGAAGCATCAGAAAATTTAATAAAGAAAAAAAAGAATAGAATCCATGATCCAAAGATAGCTGCCACTGGCAGCTATGATTTTAAATAAAAATATTTGGCAGTATACAGTAACAATTACCTGTTTGAAATATTCAACCTTCAGTCATACTTCTTTAGACGATACTGAATAATATAACCAAGTTTCATAAAAATCTGTCAAGAATTGTGCCTTCTGTGTTTACGAGTGTTTTAAGAACAAGGGCAATAACTGATACTAAATATTTTTCGATTTTTCTGATTTTCAATAGGGTCCATCCTTGGGTGATTACAAACAACATACCAAGTTTCGTTGAAATCAGTCAAGAATTGTGCCATGTAGAGTGTTTACGAGCAATTGTGCACGGACGGACGGACCGACATGGGTGACGACAATATACGCTCCCATTTCACGTGGGCGTATAAAAACGACTACAGACTGTACATGATAATGTCCATATTGTACAGTTTTTCACTACCCAGGGAAGTCTGGGGCACAATCCAAGTATAGTTTAATAATAGTACAATTGAGTGATAATATCTGGTTTTCCTTTGCCCATGATGTAAACTGGGGCTAACAGTGAAATAATGTCTAGACGTTTGGATGGGGCGATGGAAACCCTTTGTGCTGCAGTCTGTACATATTTAAGAGCATAAGTTACAATAAACATTTATTAGCAAATTAAATATACATCAGAGACAATTAATATACACACATACAAAAAAGAAACATATTTAATAACTATTTGTTATTCAATTTAGGTCCAAATTGACTGTCAGGAAACATAATAGTTACATTTTCGAATTTTGGCCCTTCCGAAAAATATTTCAACCTCTGTATTTTTATGTTACTAATCTCATATTCATCAGGGGTCTAAAACCAGACCTTTTGACAGGTCATGGCTTGTCCAATGCAATTATATTGAATTTGTCTACAGTATCTACTCAAAATTTTACAACCCAGTGATGGTCAAAGATACTGAAGTCTAGTGATGAATAAGTGTAAAAGCTGTAATTATTGCCAAGGTAAAAATCAAGATTTTAAGAAATACAGTAATTTGATTTGATAATAAAAATAAATTTAAAATCTTTTTATCTGATGACTGTGTCTGGAACACTTAATCATCTAAAGTTAAGTTTTTGAGAATAAAGCCTCTGATATTTCTGTTATAAAAAATTAAATAATATTTAGACTATACTGATAACCAAGTTTTGTAACATCAAAAATACATCCACAATCATACATGATCAGATAATATACATAATTATTATATAAATAAGGCTGAAAACATGTTACAAAATTTAACTGATGTTACTGAATATGTGAAATCAACAACAACCAGGCCCTTCTTCTCAAAAAAAAGTTTACAAGCATAAACATGTCAACATCATGCACAAAATTGAAATGGTAGTTAATTTTATTTAAAAAAAAATCTTAAAATTGTGAGAAACAAAGCAAAGGCTCAAGATTACTAGGCATTGATTTTCTTTATTCAAGTATTGATATTGATGAAATTCAGCCAGGCTCAAAATAGAAGAAATTTCCATAAGAGAGCATCAGAATTTCAGACATCTATTACGACAGCAAATTTATGTGAGTATGTACAATGACCTGAAAATTTAGCATATGGATATCCAGATTTAAAGCATGTGGAAATCATGGACAAAATGAATTCAAAGGAGTCTACAAAGTCACACAATGATGATGATTTTTAGACAGACCAAGACCAAAACAAAACATTCAGAAACACAGGAAACATGGAAATACTTCTCATTTTATTAACTGTATTATTTATTGCTGAATGTAACAGCATATGAAATGTTATGTTAGTAAGTATAACCATACATTTAATGCTTCTTTATGAAGTAGAAAGATCATACTAAAGATTATAAATTCTTAGCATGCTGAGGATTGAAAAGTCTGGATAAGTGTTCATTCTATCTTCCACCACCTTGAGCATTAGGATCAGCTGAGGTAGCTATCATCATTAATATCACAACTGGTACAATATACATCCACTGTAATATAAAAAAATATAAAGAATTAAATCCAAAATCAACAGTAAAAGTCAGATGTCACTAAGGAACAGAATAAGATGAACCAAACATGTGTACTCATACCTTGGAGACAAGGCAAAGATTTAAATGATGATATGAAAGTAAAAGGGAATAAATTAAAGTCTGACAGGTTTATATATATAACAAAGTTTGTTATGAACTCAATTCACTAAATAACATATTGTTATCTAGGTTTTTTAAATAGAATGAATCAATATATTTATAATTAAATTTAAAATAATATGTAATTTATTGAAAGAAAACAGGAAAAGATTTTTAAAATATTGATTTCCACACTCCAGGCTTTAGAGCTTTATTCTTTGAAATGCCTTCACAAATCTTTATCATCATTAAGGGAAAAGTTTCAATTCCAGATGGTCTAATGTAATGAGATCTGGTCTATAAATGTTCCTGTAATTCTCAAATGTCTGTAGGTCAAGAATTAATATTATTAACACCGAGAAGGTAGTATAGTTGAGAATTAAGAAAAGATTATAATTAATTGAGATGGTACTTAGTCATTGAAGGTAATAAATGAAATAACTTTAATCCTAATATATACCAATTACATCCCATTGGAGTAAATCTGGCTTTAGTTCTTAGGCCAGCTGAGATTCTAACTTGTTAAAGGCATATCGTCTTCTAAATATTTTATCCATCCTTACCAATCACAGTAGTATTATCTCCTATTTTTGAGTACCTGATCGGTCTACTGAATGCCATGGAGTGTAAAATGTGAGTAGTTAGTTAGGAGGGAAGCATATTAGCCTACTCTTTTTGGATTTCTAACTATCAAGGGATCTTTAACTTGAACATACTGTAGCACACAGGGCCTAAGTTTGTTGTCCCATCCAAGCAACTAAATGCTTTTTCGATGCCAGCTCTCAGACAGGCATCAATGACAGGATGAAACCCGGATGAAATATCCGAAGGTATTATCTCAACCTATGCTGGGATTGAACACTGGACCTCTAACTTACTCTGCACTCCAAGTAATTGTAGGAAACTCTGATGATATTTCTATTCTTGGGAGGCTTTGAGAAACAGTTATAGTTTAATTATTAATATTCAATTTCAGATCTCTGGAATTGCTATGGGTTGACCAAACTGATTTTTACCAGATTTTAACATAGAAGTTGGAGAACTATATCACTTTACAAATAGGTAAGCCATATGATGGCTAGATAACCTAATAAATCTCAAAATATAAACAGACTGCCAACACCATACTCTGATAAAGTCTGTCTGGACTCAAAATTTCGCTATTATTTCTTAGAATGAAAAATAGATATATATATTCAAAAGCCCAACAGAAATATTATTTTCAAAAACTTCAAGGAGCAGTATGTAAAATTTTAATTGTCAAAATTGTCATAAATTTAACCTGAAAATATTTTGAAATATGCTTATTCACATGTATGTAACTACTTGATCAAACTTAATTTGTGGTTGTATTTATATTAGCTTTCATAAGCACTCAATCAATCAATTTCATATATCAGAATTCTTGTAATTCCAGAAAAACTGAACAAATGCAAATACAATTCAAGCCAAATGGTTTTGTTATAGTGACATTCATAGAAATTCTGGAAATCCTATTAATCTAAGCATATCTACATCGCTCTACAATTGATGTATTAATTATTTCAACAGTGAGAATATTTTGTTGAACCAAAGAAATATACAAATTAAGACCTTCAAATTTGTAACTGTTGGTTCATTAGGCCAAAAAGGTACAATTGTAACACTTAACAGTAACACTCAGATATCTGAAACAAAAACTATTACCACATTTTTTACCTATCTTATTAACACTATAAAACAGATTCACAGGTGTTATAACCCCCCATAAATCCATTTATCAAAATCATTGCCAACATTTTTAACATTACACTATTTTGATTGAACCCTCCTGTTGAAATTTTATCAAAAAGATTATCTAATTGGAGTTTTTACGTCAGTAAATTTCATTGATGTTTATTTTTAAGTTACTACAATTATCAGCTATGTGCACTGTCCAAAACAGATCAGTGAGATATGTCAAACTTTAGACATGACATAACAATATTTCATTGTCATGGTTACCAAAAATTTGCTCTTTCTGCCATGTAATGTACAGTTGCAATTTATCGTGGTACATACGTGGTGATCTCAAAATATAATGTACCCCATTGTCTGCCAATTTTTCAAATGAACCCTTACAGTCCAAGCAATGCACACACAAATCATCATTAATTTTACAAATTGACTTTAGCTCATTTATTAATGGTTAGGGTATCAAAGTAATATTCGAGTTACTATACAAGCTCACTCATGGAAACCTAATCACAAGAAAGACAGGATATGAGAATTGGACGGAATACATGGTGGTAGTCAGGTAGCCAATTATAAAATCTTCACAACAGGTGGTTAATACCTTCACTGAATCTAGAATAATCAGTGGAATATCATAGTATAGTACCAGTAATCATTTACAGATAACTAGTTAACTAGTATCCTCTAATATCAACTATTTCTGGACTTCACAGAGAAGATCACAGGCCATGCTGACTGACTCTGACTGAGAGATTTAACAGATAAAGACTTTTAATTGTTATAATACCAGCTGATATAATACCATGGTCCATCATGTCAAACTTGATTACCAGGTGATCTACAAAAAATCCATAAATTTCTACAATTATACATTGTTCTAAGAAAATTACCGTATTCTTTTTTTTAATCACATTCTGATAAGTTGTCAGTGCATAACAATACAATATTCATGTCTTTTTTTTTTATCAATGTCATTAATAAATGTTGCAAATTTCAAGTCAAAGATCCATCTGGAATTTTTTTACTGACAAGACAATCTGAACCAAATGAATGAATGGTTACAGAATTGGATGAAGACATTTGAGTTTTTGGATTTTTTATTGGTAGCTAGCAGGGTGGGGCTTTTTTTTACACTCCACAAGACCTGATATCACTCTGAAACTGAGTTGTGCAGAAAATTATAAATATTGATGCTAAGGTTGAACAGACCAGTAAATTTTTTAGTTGTATTTGATATTCAACCAGTAACAAAGTACAGAACAGAAAGACATAACACAGAATTCAATACAAGTATCAAGTGACTGTTAGAAGTACTATCAAGATAAGACACAATACAATCTGTCAATGTGTCTGGTACTCAGTTGTAAGTTATAAAATCACTCTTCAATAAAGAAGATAGATCAGGTTTGATGGAGATCAACTCAGATTTTAGTCATGTACAGAAACAGATTATATTTGACCCACTACTTTACATCAAAATTAAATATACTTTGGCATCTACTTTTTTTTTACCTTTACGGGTAAGACAGGATTGATTAATGCCAAAAGGTTTGGTAAACGAAAGCTGTTATCCCAGAAGAAAATGGGTATTTGTTTTCGGTCTTTCACTATATTGCATGATAAAACATAGATACAACACTCATGCAGGTTGTTTTCTACTTAAATCAAATCTTTCAAATCGCACATAATTCAACTAAATTCAGAAATTGAACATATTGTCCAAGATGTTGCAAGTTGCTAGTCATTAAAAAAAAGTCTGTTTCAGACCATGTTCTTAACATTTCATCTGATGCAAAATAAAAGTTTTAAAATGTCTAGTAAAATTTCAAATGAAATCTTCTGGATCTTGGAATAATGTTACCCACAGTATTTGCAAGACATTAAACCTATCAAAAATCCTTAAATATTGTGGGTTATTTCAAGATTTATCACTGTTTCTACCCCAATTCTGTCATTAATCATCAAAGTCTGTAAATATCGGAAATAAAGGGACATAACTGCTAATGGATAACATCTTTGCGTAAAAATATCATCAGTTGTAAATCACCAAACTAAAAAGCTATTACATGATATGAAGGTTTAATGGAAAACTCTCTGTGTGGCTGTAATCAATAATCATTCTAACATGTTACATAACAATTTCAAAATGATATATTGTCATGTTTTAATGTTAATAACAGTGATAAGAAGTTAGAAAATAATGTAGAAACGTTATCAACCATTTTGGAATTGCAGAAAAGACAACAGTGAAATTAAGTGAATTAGTGTTAAATAAAATCCTGCTGTACAACTACAAATTTTGCAAAGAAAAAGACCAGGTACTGTGTGAGAGACTTCCACTATTAATTCTTGCCTTTTCTGTAGCATAGGAGGTCGTGAATTTTGTTTGTTTCAAAAGAAACCACATTATTTTCCAAGTTAGTTGTATAAGCCTTAACATACTATTTTGACCTAAAGTTGACATCAAAACAGCAACAAAAAACTGTGAAGGTATTAACTTCAACCATGCAATAAGAGATTTTTCAACATCACTTGTATTATGTCTATATCTAAAAATGTTAATGAACTATTGAACTATGATTGTATCTTAATGATCTTCTCATAATAAACTGCATCTCAATTTTATGCTGACCAAATCTACAGCAGAACATTCCAATTAGTCTGATTTCCTGTCACTAAAACTAGTTTCTTTTATCTGAAACCTGAAAATCAAGAGCAATAAGTGTATGATTCTAAAACCATGGCCCCTCCAACATCAGAGTACCAAAATGCATTTTGTTTCAGTCCAGACAAGGCCACATTAAAACATGTCCATTAACCTGACAGTAAAATCAACTGATCTGAGAACTGTTCTTCAATTGTAGTGTAAATGAAAACCATTCTTAGCACATTTATCTGTGGATCTCTTATTGAAGAAGTTAAAAATAGTCTAAACGTTTGTAGTCGCCACAAAATAATCAACCATGGCACTGAATAATGATGAAATTACACAAGAAAACGTAAAGATCGCCTATTAGACAATATGTAAACTGTTATGAGAATGTTAACCATTTACATAATACCAATTCATTGAGTCTGTTCTGAGAAACCATAATTTTTAAATGTAAAAGGGGTAAAATATATAAAGTTCTGTTGGAGGTATTAGA